TATTTGATCATTAGGAGTCAATGACTTCAATAAATAGATTTCATATTTGTCTTCTAGATTCCGTTCCGTTGTAAGGACATCCGAATTCTAGATATTCCACCATGATTGGCTGGTGGGAGGTTAAACATTCTACTTGTGAACTATATAGCTGCCATGGTGGTGATGTTAGCATTGAGGGGAGAGATTATGTGTTTACGACTTTGATTTTCAAATGAGCAAAATATTGCAATGGTTAAAGAGTTTGGGGGATAATGTCTCTAAATATTGTCGGTATTTGAATGGCGGATCCGAAAACATGCAATCTTATATGGCGAGACGGATCATCTGCTTTTACATATTCTCCTAATCCTTCGTCATTAGGGTTCGCATCTCATTTGTCATTATAACGAAAGCCTTTGCCGGCGGCTCGTTTTTTTGTCTTATGACTGGTATTACGTCTTGCTGACGATTGTCGTTGATACGACGTAATTCGTAGTTGATCTAGATCCGTTATAAATGCTTTAACTCGGCCAGAATCACGAATAACTATGTGGTCGTCAACAGTCCACGGGAAGGAAATCATATTGTCAGCAGGGCCATCCCCTCTCGATACGCAACATGATACCAAGCATAGGCCTTGGCTTCCAGTCTGTTCTTAATACCCATCTGGTTTTAGCCTCGGCTGCTGATTTTACAGAATATTCGGCAAAGATGTCCTCAAATTTTTTACGGTAATTACGCCGAATACCAGTCATCGTTCACTGACCGCTCTCTGTATTTCACGTGGTTTCTTTTGCTCCACCTTTATGGTAGAGCTGTATCATATGCACGTTTCGTAACAGAGCGTCTTCCAGATGTTGTTCATAGCCATCCACGAATAATCTTTAATGTCTGTTTGTGGTGGGTCAAACTACAAAATTGAAGTTGTATAGATCTGTACAGTTTTCTAAGAATCTTTTGAGATTCGTAAGATCGCTTATCCGCTTTATCCATAAAATCCGGATATTCGCTTACACGCAGTCCCTTTGGGAATTCAGCAGGGACACCAGTTTTAGAATGTAACTGTGCCAGTCGCAAACAGTTTCCATGCATAGCACATATCCTGTGTAGCAACTCTGTGATTAATGGACAGAGGAGGATAAATACGCGAGGCTTCTTTGATGACCGCTTCAAGATAATCAAGTTTTTTGTTCGCATCATCGAGCTGCACCATTCTATTCGGATTATCTCTGAACAGAGGATCGACCTCCTCTCGTATTTTCTTCTTTATTTCATTCCTGGTTCTTTATCCGCTTTTGCCACGTGAGTATGTTACCACATTGCTCACAGAAGAATATTTGAGTCTGAGATACTTCATCTTCTAAAAGGAAGGCTCCGTTGTCGACAAATATTTTTTGAAAATTTGTGTTACTCAGTCATTTATTGTACATTACATATGCTTGTCGCAGTAGTCCTCTTTAGAGATGAATAACGCTGCTTTGATATTTTCAGGTTCATTGGATCAGCAGGAACAAAAGTTTGCACTTGACGGTGACTAACTTGTACAGCAGAATACCACCAGCCAAAGCTCAAAACGCATACACTATCGGACGGAAATAGAGGCAGTCATAAAGCTACCTGAGAAGAAAAAAACTGTGTTAACAAATGTTTGTCAGATTGCCCAGATTTTCTCTTGATCAATGACGCAACAATTTTACTGAACCTTGCTTTCACATACTTGGTCGTGTCTGCACAGGGGACAATGCATGTTGAACTTTAACGGTCGAGAGAGTCGGAGGACATG